ACAGGGAGGTAATCGAGCATGGGGATTCCGAATACAATATTGGTTTTCAGGATCGTCCATTACTTTTATCGATATCGATTTTTTTGTAAAGTTTGACCTGCGGGGCTGGCAGTTTGCACAGGGGGTAATCGAGCATGCTGATCATCCCCAAGGGGGGTGATCAGCATGCTCGATTACACCTCTGTGCCAAATTCCAGCCCCCTAGCTCAAATTTTCAAAAAATCGATAAAATCGATAAAAGTAATGGACGATCTTGAAAACTAATATTGTATTCGTAATCTGCATGCTCGATTACCCCCCTGTGCAAACTCCAGCTAGTATATTATATTATATTAGGTCATTCCAAAAGTAATATCGCTTTTTCAAACGGACGCCACATGTGATGGAACAAAAATTTCTAAGAGATCTTGGTAGCAATCGATGTAGAACTTCATCTTCTTTCCAAAGGTTATAAAATTATTGCAGCAAAGTCAATAAGCTTTTGAGAAATTGCGAATTCATGCTTTTTGAAGACGCTCAAGTTCCACAATTTTTCTAAATTTTCACATCGACCCTCCGAATGAGTCCATACGATTCGATAGACCAAACCTCATAGGATATGGCGTAACTTTTTTCTCGTTTTTATACCTCGCCGTAATTTCTTAAGAGGTTTATTTTTAAAACCATGAAATTTTGACAGGCCTACCATCAACCACATCAAACACCAATAAATCTTCGGAATTTAAAACTCCCAAGATGGTATTATGATTAAACACTAATTTTGCAAAGCGATGAGGGTTTACGGAATCGAAATATCTAGCTTCGATTTTTCCGAGTACAGCCAGCCCGTAACGCGTTCAAAAATATAAATTACTAGCTGGCTTACCCGGCTCCGCCCGGCCCTGTCAATGCTATGATCAAGGTTTTATCCCTATCCCTAGAACCTTTTATTGTGCTCACTTCTACAGGCAGTTCCCTATTCCCTATTCCCACTGTATTAGTAATTAGCATGCCCACCTACCTCTCTCAAAACCCCCAGCCCCGTAGCTCAAACTTTGCAAAAAAAAACAATAAAATCGGTAAAAGTAAGGATAATTCTGGAAACTGATGGCGCTATTCGGCTATCCGGTCCCAAAATGTTTTTGTGATGGATCTTGCTCAAAGTCGGTACATGGGGATTATTAAAGCCGCTGATGACGAATACCGTAGTCATTTCGCGCGATATAGCGCCATCTGGGTTTACGTTGGGTACACATAAGGCTAATGGATCAGCGATCATGGATTTCGCTGAAACTTTGAGGGGGGCTAATCGACATGCTGATTGCGAATATCATACTCCTTCGGCATTTTGAGGCGATTTCACTGAGTTATGGTAGGTGTACTGCAGACGGGCGAAATCTCAGTTTTGGCTGAAACTCGGTCTAGAGAGATTCGACCTTCTGACCACTTTCAAAACACTCTCGTTGCGTCTTCAGACCTTTTCGCAGAGTTACGGTAGGTACATGGGAGCGGGTAAGAATCATGAACCTGCCTGAAACCTTGGCAGAAAATTACCTAAAGTGTTGTTTCATATCGTGCTCAATCCCCACGATAAAGGCAATTCTGTATAAAAGTTCTGCACGACCGTAATACTTTCCATTCAGGATTTTCTAAGCGTAAGCTGGTATTAATTTCATTTTTTCATGAATGTTTTTTGACTGGGCATGTCTATTGTCATGTCTTTCTCTTTCACGATACACCGTCACCGTGGAATAGGCCTATTGATGAAATAGTTTCATAAAAATCTGTAAATTTGTTTAGCAAGGTGTTCAGAGTGTTGATTCCGCTACATATTTTCGGAGGTTTTTGATAGCGTATTCACATTTCTAACAAACGAAAAACATTCTTGAACCAACCAACATTGTTAACATTTACCCTAAATGTGAAATAACTTATAAAGAAGCAGTGAAGTGCAGAACTCATATTTGGAATCATGGACTTCGACTAGCCCAGTTTAAGAGTTTCTGGCTTGGCTTACTTTCTGAGCCAAAATACCGCTTTTTAAGGCTTAAAGAATCGCGACGATGAAATTGCGTGAACTGTCCGAGGCCTTAGAGTTGCTATAGTTTGCCCCAATCCTAACCAGGCCAATATTGGCATGGCGTGAAACCGTGTCGCGAGGGTATTGCCTCAAGTCTACGGCTGGCTAGTCTGCTCTCTCCTCAATTTTGACAGCGGAGCGCGCGTATGCAGCGCAAATCGCTAGCATAGCGAGCGCGCAAAATCAGCCGTTAGTTCGATCTGATCCCGATTTAGGTCAGACTGTACAATAATCCTACAGTAATGGCGAGTAGTGATTCGTTTCCAACTGTAAATCTAGGTTTAAGTTCACTTTACAGAATGGTATCTCAAGCTCTGCGAAAGACATTCAGGCAAGAGAGTTACTGACGATCAAACAGTGTGCACATCTTCTTTGAGAAAGCCGAGCCCAAAAGATCCGCGCTTCCTCCGCCAAAGGTGATTTATTTGTTTTCTATGATCAATGGTGTTGATAATTTTTGGTTTTCAGAAGCGTGTCGTTATCGAAGTCAATGAATTGTTTATGGGGGCTGTGAACACCAATAGCTGCCACGCGGGACTTACACTTGCACGTACGCACGAGATGAGAGCAACCTCAAACTTGGGTAATTAAACTTTATTATTAGAAAGGTAAACAATATTATGCGTTAACGAAGCATCAAGATAAACTAACCATAATAAACTAATCTAAAGTCACCTAAAGGACCTAAGCCTAGATTAGCATAAAGAGATGCAAATGGGTAGAGCAAAAGGACTGTGAGAACAAGGCAAACAATCGAACCCACTACAACTACGAACAGTGCAAGCGAAAGGATATTCAATACTGTGACGTCTCTATGAAGAAGAGAATCATGAAATAATGGGACTGTGAATAAGTAGAAGATGAGCAAACTGTGTTTAGTAAAGCTTTATCATGGCAAAAGTGACTTTTGGGTCTGTGGCTGTGTAGTTTATCCAAAAGGTCTGTGATCTGCGAAGCAAGCAACAAACAAGGTAATAAGAAGAATAAAAGGAACAAGAGAAGAAACAAAATAAGAGAATAAAAAAATAAATGTTATACGCATACATTGAATCTGTCGTGTCTTATTATCGACTTATATATCGGAAGCATTGGAATTATAAACAAAGGTCATCGGGTCTGTGAAAGCTACTGATAAGCTGCAAATGATGTTATATTTCTTCTTTCACATTCTCCGCGGCTCAAAGAACAATACGAACATCGAGTTCGTATACTCCGGCCTCGCCTTAAGAATGCGAGGGACCTGGAATGTCCTGACTGTGAAGAGTGAAGTTTCTGTCATGAGTAATCATTTGCAGCTCCCGTCGATAGTTTTGCACACTTTCTTCAAGCTCCCTTTGGCGAATCTGTAGCCGATCCATTTCGTCCGGCAGTGGACAAATCCCAGCGTGATGGTCGTAGGCAGTACTTCGGCCAACATTTTTGCAATAGAAACATGATGTTGATTTTGGGCACGCGTTCGAATGACGTTCGAGACAGCGGTGGCATCGTCCTTCGTTGTCCAAGATGGCTATGCGGTCTGTGATTGCAGTCACCCTGGGGCACCCATCTGAGTAATGTTGCCCGAATTCCTTGCAAAAGATACACATGATGTTCTGGCCTGCCTTCAATCCTCCATCACCTATTCTTCGTACCGGGCACGAAATCTTTCGCAGCTCCGTCTGTGTTCTTTGGAGTTCCTCCTCATAGTTGGCCAGAAGCTCCTCATAGTGATGACGTCGATTCGCTGTTTCCTGTTCCAAATGCCTCCGTTTGCGATCCTGTGAGTGATCGTAGTGCCTCCTGCGATCGCTATCCTTCCTTGGTCTACTGCCGCCAGTGGATTGAGAGCGTCTGCGTCTTCGACGGCGATCTTCCGGAGATACCTCCTCTTCACGATGTCTAGGTCTTGCCCGCGAAATCTCTTCCGTCAGTTGACTTAAGAACTGTGAGTTTCCTTTGTCTCTCCGGTCCGTTTCTTCCTTGAACTGAGCACCAAGTCCTAGCAACTGCTGTTCCAGGCAGGAAATCCTCTGCTGTAGTTTTCCGAGCTGTGAATCGAGTTCTGCCTTTACGTCCTTGGTGCACTCCTTTCTCTCTATCGACAATTGTTTTGCATTCTGATTGTAGGCCTCTTCAATCCATTTCCGAGTATGCTCGTGCTGTTGCCGGACTTCGCGCTTGAGCTGTGAGATTTCGTCTGCAAGGTTCCTTATATCCCGACCATTTGCTTCGGTGACTTCCGCCTGACGCGATCCTCTTTGGCGTTGCCACTCTTCCGTGAAGGCTGTGAGCGTTTGTTGAACTTCCTGATAAGCCCTCATTTCTGCCGCCCTGCTTCTGGTGGTTTCTTGCTCCACATCATGTAGTTCTTCTTTCTCATCATGCGTGAGCGTTTCGTACCCTCTGCGATAGGTTTGGACGATCCGCCCAACGTCATCCTTTTCATAGCTGTGAGAGACGGCTTCCGGCGCTGGGTAACCTCGGTCTGTGGGTCTCGTGGGCCTCATAGTCACATGTTGCCCAATCGCATCCAGGTACATCACACGATCGATTTCCTGTGCATCTCCAACTGCGACTAGTATCTCGTACCACTCATGGGCCAAGTAGAACTGGTCCATCCAGTGGGTCAACTCTCTCAACTCATCTAGATGCTTCGCTCTCATGTCCTTCAGCTTCAGGATGTAGTTGATTGACTCTTTGACCGTGTACGTCATTTCCCAGCGATTCCCTTTCAACTCGATATAGTCCAGCTTCGCTTGCGTCAGACGGTCTTCAAAATCGTAACATTTGTCGCCGAAATCCCTGATCCGCTGCTGCACCTGTGCCACAGTGGGTTTCGCCGGTGACTGTTGAACGATGGTTACTTTCCTCTCGATCTCCTCTCGGAGTCTTCGTTCGAGCTCTGGGAAGAAGTCCGCCATGTCCTGTGAAGAAGGAACATTAGAGGTGAATAACCCTGGGTTCAATCTTCCCCTATGGCTCTCTTGCGCGGTAGATCTCGACCTGGAAAGCCATGCCATTTAGTCTGCAAGAGAAGCGTTAAACATGCAATCGACACATCACCACCGTGCCTTCCGGCCTCGGCAGACAAGTTGGCTGTGTTTGCGTTTCTGTGACCCTTTAGTCTTGTGATCTATCCCTGGCTTATGTCTTTATGAGCCGGTGGTGATTATTTCGGGTGTTCGAAAACTTATCAGTAGCTATCATCTCCGTGAAGGCATGCGTAGTACTCGCCGGTGTTGTTCGGCTATGTTTTTTCTCGCCGACCTGCGCTGGCTGGTGTTTGATCTGATATTACTATTATTATTATTTTCTATATTTGTTGTTTTTTCTGTATTTTACTCATTTATTTATTCAATTTCGAGGTCGACATTCAGGTAGGTTCCTTTTATTTTTAATTAATTTTTTTTTGGTTTCGAGGTCGATACCCAGGTGGGTTTTTTTTTGTTGGCCCTTTGTCCCTTCGGCGACTTCCCATCCTTCCCCCCCCCTTTTTTTGCAATAAATTTGTACATAGGAATGTTTTTTGGGGGGACTGTGGAACTGTAGAGGGAGTTGCTCCATCAACTATTGGCGGTGAACCCTCATGTCGCGCTTCTCGATTATTGGGCGGGCTCCAAGGGTCTTCAGCCCTTTAACGAACAAATCCAAATGACGGGCTGTGGGACTGTGAATGGAATGGGCCGCTTGAACGAATTGTTTGGCGGCGAGTCCCGTGTATGACGAACCATTTTACATTCCACCTCTCCGCAGGAAGTTAAATGCGGAAATTATAATGGGCCTACACCAGTCCTCCATTGTGTGATATGATCACACTGAGAATTCGCCTAAGAACGGCGAGTGGAAAAAAAATTCTTTTTTTTTCCAAGGTACCCACACGGAAATGACCTTATCGATGATGGCATGTTAACGAGGAAAAAAAATTTGAGATAGGGGCATCGTGCCAAAGCAGGATGTCGACTGTAGACACGAATTTCTGGACTCAAGATCCCATCGCTGAATATGATGTCTTCGATGCACTTAAACGCTACTTGCTCTCTATATATATCGAGGCAAGGTAGCGTTGCTTATGAAGAACAGCTGTTGTTTCTACCAAACAGGAGCCTGGATTAATGAAGCGAGAGGAAGAAATTCCGTCGTCTACTGCCTCATAAGAAACCTTTTGATATCCCCATCTCATCTGTTCCGTACAATAAAAATTTGTGGGAGAAATATTGTCCCTTGTCGTGGAAAAGAGTGGGCTGTGTACTCCATCATAATGTTCAGATTTTCCAATTTTCACTTTTCCCAAGGCACGACGATTACGATTCCTTTCATTTATAATCATGTTCAAGGTGCTAGAGGATAGTCCGGGTGCCGCTTAATGAAATGTCGAGTGTTGGCTAACGTCTGTCATCAAATGTGTAAATAATGTCTGTGAAATCTGATGGATCTTCGGAATTTTCAAAGAAACTACACGGATTCATATAAAACTATGACTGTGATTATTCCTAATTCATATATGTGTAACTACTTCCAGTTTTAGCTTTATAAGCGCTTTTCGTCGGATTTCGGTTGCTTCGCCACCTGTCTGTGAAGAAGCCGGAAAGGTAGTATCCATAAAGTGCGGAGGAGACTAATCATTAGTCGAAACAGTGAGAAGCTCATGTGGCACAACAGTCGTGTTGCTGTGCAGAAGCAAGCGTTAGTCACGGCGAGGTAAGTTAGCAGTAATGCTACTAAAACCAGTAGTCCAGTGACGGCTAGCGTGGCCCACCATGTAAGGAAGGTCTGTGCCAGGTGCTCCAAATCTGGAAAGTTGATCTCCGAAAAAATCTCACTTTCTCCATTTAAAATGCGCCATGCTGCTCCCTCTAGACTTCCAGTGTAGTGAAGTAGGCCAGTGATCTTGAAGAATTTGATTGTTGTTCCACATTTAATTGTGCAGTTTCGGTAGAACAGCGCTCTGTCGCTAATAAAGCTTATGTTGATTTGTGTTCCTTTATCTGTGCACTTGACTGTGAATGCATCGTCTTCACATTGTATCTCTGCCCATGTCGTCGGTGTAGACGATTTGCATGTGATTAGAGCCTTAGCCCCTTTTGGGCATTTATAGCATCCACTACAATGCGTATCCTCGCTTATGCATACTGCCTGTGATCTCACTGCTGTTGTGTCGAATTTTCCTTTAATTCGTAGGACGAATTCAGCTGTAGGAAGTTGTGGTATCCTTGACACAACAGTTCCGTTCATCGGGTGTAGTTCGAGATTCGGTCGCAGCCCGGGTAGTCTGTACCGTGATTCTCGAATATGGGCTGTGAGATTCACTTCTTTGCAGTTGCAACTCATTTTCACTTCCGCTGGCGTGCATTTGCAGTCTTCTCTGACCTCACAAGTGAGGTTAGCTGCGCTCTGATATGAGTCGCATACCAGTGGAGGTGTAAGAAGTCCTGGTGTGATTGCGATCAGTGTACCGTCTGTGAGGAAGGTAGTGTCTAACATGGGAGTTGGTGGTATACTGATGGACGTAAGTGTGATGGTAAATGGCGGCAAACCTTTCGGTTGGTTCGGAATTAGATGGAAATTGAGGTCCTGTTGAGGTTCGTCCGCTTCGTTGATCTTCAGCTGTAGGTCCACCACCGGCTTCCATCGACTGCATTTGAAAAGTTCATAAACCTTCTCGTCATTTGGTAGTAGGTAAATTCTATAAAATAAACATCCAGAGCTGGGGTAAAAGCAATCACAACCTGGGCCACCGCAGCTTTCCACGCATCCTGTGACGCCTGGGAAGTTGTTTGCTCTGTGCAGTTCTGCTATCTTCGAGGTTCGATTCACCTTTCCACATTTGTCTCCTGTGCACGATCCTGCATGCGGACATCTTTTGCTGTCCAAGAGGGCGTATCTGGTGCTCCTCGAATGTAGTACAGTCTGCTTCTCACAAAATAGATTGAGATTCTTCTATAATAGCTTCACTTCCAAAACACTTGCCTCTTTGTTTCGTAGTCGAATGCACGCTTCCTGCTTGAGGGGATTGATCTTCAGAATTTCTGTTGTATCTATGGTGCAGTACTCCTTGCGCCATGATTTGTAGCAAGACCGGCTGTGGTGAGTGAAGATGTCGACGTCCTGGCACGTTTGCAGTGGTGTTGCACAGATTATGGCGAGGAGTATAGCTGCTTCTGAGAATGAAATCCTTCTTCTGCGTTGACGGTGCCTTGTTGAAAGTGGCATTACGAGAAGTTTCCACACGAATTTGATTAGTCCTTTTAGACACAATCTCGTAATTCTCAGGAGAGAAATCAGTGGCGTTCCCATTAGCACTGGTACGTGGAAGAGGCAATAGCACACGGCTACTCCTGCGTAAACTATGAGTCCTGTGGCTAAAATGGCTGTTCTAGGCCAGCATTCTGGATTTGCTATCATCACTGAACAGAAGATGCAGTCAATTTGTCCACAGAAGGGCGCTGCTCTACAGGTAGTCTCTATTATACTTACGTCTGTGCCGTCGAACGTCTTCCATTTGACGCGATGATCGTGAAGTGTGATGTGTGGCGGAAATCTTACTACTTCTTCGTGTTTTGGATTTCTGAACTCCACACAATAGTCTTCAGCGCAGATTTCGTATGGCTGTTGAGTGAGTTGCGTTAGAATTACTCCTCCTTCATTGCATTGTAATGAATGGTTGTTGTTGCTCCGCGTTCCTGTTATTGTTTGTATGCAAAGAGAGAGAACCATCATCGTGAATAAGGATGTTGTTGAAGTGGGTATATTTTTTTCTCCTTTGTGTTAATTCTTCTGTTCCCTGCTCCTTGTAATTGATATTTTTTCTCGGTCTGAGGTTATAAGGGAGGATATTCTCCTGCTCCTGAACCATGGATGAATCCGGCTTCTTCTGTTGGACTGTGGCTGCGTCACTACCGTTCGTGATTTCCAACGGCACGATTCGGTTTACTGGACGACGTAATCTTCTCTTATTGGGTGTTTCGACGACGACCTCTCTGACGGTTTTCGTGGGTGAGTCTTCAAGTTGTACTATTCTTGCTGTTTTCCATGTGTTTCTCTGTTGAATTGCGTCCCACAATAGAACTACATCTCCTATTTTTGGTGCTCCTTTTGCTCCTCTTTTGTTATCCATTCGAATTTTGTGTTGTTCTCGAAGGCTACTAAGGTACTGCTCTCTCCATATTTTCCAAAATTGTTCTGTGAGGTTTATCGATGTTTTGAGTGCTGCTTCTACTTGTCGTTGTGTCGCCAACTGCTGGGCCTCCTCCGGGGTATGGTAGATCTTGTCGCTTCCTTCTTCACTGATATATTTTAGCGGGTAGTCTAGTATTATGTTGTTCTGAAGGAAGTCGATAGGTCGCAAAAGAGGTTGTTCTTCCCACTTTTCCTCTTGATATGTGAGTGGCCTCGAATTCAGCATCGCTTCTATTTCTGTGAGCGTCGTCCTTAACTCATCAAATGTGATTGTTCGCACTCCAAGCGATTTGTAAAGCGAATTCTTGATGGACCGTATCAACCTCTCGTAAAATCCACCCTGCCACGGTGCATAAGGGGTGATGTGATTCCATTTAATCTCTCGCCGTGCAATTTCGCTTGTGACTTCAGTGCTGTGAATCGCATTTTCTATAGTATCCTTTAGGATTTGCTCTCCCAATAGAAATGTCGGTGCGTTGTCACAGGTTATTGTCTGTGGAACTCCTCTTCTCGCGAAGAATCTTCGTAATGCGTTGATGAATGCCTCTGTGGACATATTTCCCACCAGCTCGAGGTGTATCAGCCGAGTTATCTGACAGGTGAGGATGCATCCGTAAGCTTTATTGGATCCTTCAAGGTTGTCTGTGATCATTAAGGGCCCAAAGTAGTCCAATCCAATGTGCTTGAATGGCCTTGCCCTTTGTAATCGCGTGGTCGGTAAAGCTTCCATATCTGGATAGTGGAAGGGCAGGTTGTTCATCTTCTGACACGGTACGCATTCTCTTATGATATTCTTTGCTTGTTGCCGTATTTTTGGTATCCAGTATGTCTCTCGTACTGAGGAGATAGTGTGGGCTAGTCCGCGATGGTAGTTTCTGTGAACCTCTGTGATGATGAGATACGATAGCGCTGTTTTTGGTGCGATATATATCGGTGTTCTTGCCGTTAGTGATATATCGGCTTTCTTGAGTCGTCCGTAACAGCGTAATACTCCTTGCTCATCTTCACGGATGTTCAACTCCTTTTGTGATTTTATGAGGTGCTCGTCCACGTAGTGTTTCTGATGGTCTCGAATTATGCACATTCTGCTTTCGTGCATTTCTGCTCCTGTGATGTTTTGCGATCTTGACATCGCCTTCAATGCCGGTATGTTCCTTTGAATTTCTGTTTTCCTTTCTTCGGTGAAGTGAATAGAAGATTTTCCTATGAAGCGTAGTGCATAGACCAATACTCTCTGTGCCTTCTCAAGAGAGCTATATCTAGTCAGGTCTATTATTTGGTCATTGACTCGTTCTGTAGATATGTGGATTGAGTTCATTGTCGCTGTTATTGCTTCTTCATCTTTCTTTATTTCGGTAAGTGTAGCGTAATCCACTTTGTTTATGAAGCTTGGTCCTTTCCACCATGTGTGGTCACTCAGTGCTTCCGCTGTTAGCCCCCTGGATTCGCAGTCAGCGGGATTGTCTGACGTCTTGACATGTCCAAAGAAACACTTTATATTCCTGTCTTCGAGATTTCCGATTATGTGTCTTATTTCCGTTAATCGATTCGTCACTAGGACTCCTACGCTGTGCCGAGTTGGAGGGGATTTTATCCATCCCAGCACTACGTCGGAGTCTGTGTAGTATATGACTTCTTCAATCTTGCAAACGGATTGTAGTTCTGTGCAGATGAAGTGGGACATTCGTACTCCGAGCGTGACTGCGTTCATTTCTAATTTTGGTATAGTCATTGACGTCTTTATTGACGGTAGTTTTGATTTTCCCATGACGAGATTGGATTCATCTTCCGTAGCGAGATACGCACATGCCGCTATCGCGCATTGACCAGCGTCTGTGAATACGACCAGTCGTGTCTTCTTATCTGTTGTAAGAATTTGTCTGTGTACCTCTTTGTAGAAAGTCGATATCTCGGTGGATATCTGTCGCCATTGATCCTGCAGTGATGGGTTGAGGGTGGTGTCCCATTCCAATTCCTCCTTCCAGAAAGACTGCAGGAAGATTTTGGCAGGAAGTAGTAGAGGTACCAGTAATCCCAGTGGATCGTATACCGACGCTAATTGCTGCGTGACTGTGCGTTTAGTAATCCTTTCTTTCGCGACTCCCATGGATCCTTTAATAACAAATTTGTCCATCTCCGAATTCCATGGGATGCCTAGCACCTTGGGGCACGTGGATTGCATCCTATCGCTTTCTTCGATGGTTTCATTAAAGCTTTCGTCGTTAGAGCGATACTCCCTGAGGTTCATATTGAGTTCGCGGAAAAGATTTTTCGTATGGACATATTTGGTAAGCGCTTCATGGGACGACTGTGCACCAAAGAAGAGGTTGTCTACATATAGATTGTTCCGTATCTCTGCTGTCATGTCGTCCGTGCTGGCTGTGTTCTCAAGGTGATAATCTATTGTAGCGCTTAGCAGAAATGGTGACGCGTTAAGGCCAAAGGTAACTCTGGTGAACCTGTAGGTTACCAGATTCTCCTGTGTGGGTGGCTGTGCAATGTCTTTCACCCATATACAGCGCGTAGCGTCACGGTCCTTTTCTTGTAATCTTACTTGAAGGAATGCCTTTTCGATATCAGACATCACTGCGATCTTAGGGAATCAAAATCGAAGTATCACTCCTGTCAAGTTGGGTAGAATGAGGGGCCCTTGGTGTAAAACATCGTTCAAGCAAGGACAGTTCCTGTAATGTGCTGATGCGTCGAAGACGATTCTTATTTTCGTTGTCTCCTTCAGTGGCGTAATGACTGCCTGGTGCGGTAAGTAGTGTACTATTTGTCCTTGATCAGGCTCCTCTGATGATACCTCTTCAATAACACCTTTTTCTAGTTGATCTTTGAAAGTGTTATCGTATGCTTGGAGAATCTCATTATCCTTCTGGTATATCTCTAGAACTTTCTTCAGTCTTTTCAGAGCCAGTGCTTTATTGTCCGGAAGATCTGGATGATTTTCTTTCCAGGGTAAGCGTACGTAGTATCCATCGTCCCTTTTTTCGATGGATTCCTTGAATCTTTTCAAAACTTTCTCGTTTACTCGTTGTAGCTCCGTTTGTTGTGTGCCCGCGTATTCTTCTGTACCGGTTGATTCTAAGGACCAATAGCGGTCCCATATCTCCTTCTCGGTTTCACCACCACATAACGTGCAGGTTATTGCTGGTTTGCCGGTCGAAGAAGATCTCTGATTGCTACCTATTTGCCGCCCACTGATGATGTACCCCAATTTTGTGGGTATCAGTTGCAGCCCGGATGGTAAGTCCAATTTCTTGCCTGGCTCTATGAAGTTCCAGAGATAGTCGCAGCCCAGTAAGATCTGTGGTCGTAATTCTCCTCCTTCTATTGGCAAAGATAAGTCGAAATTTCTCTTCTTGATAAACTGCAAATCATTCTTGCTTAGGTTTGCTCTGTGTACTGCGCTGGTTATGTAGTCGTTTCTGTAGAGCTGTACTTTGTGCTTTTTGCCGTTCCGATCCAATAGTATCAGGTTAGTCATAGCACATGATTTCATCTTATGAGACGGTGATCCAAATGTACTAAGTTCCAGGGTTGTTGTGCCAATTATCGGCAAGTCCAGTTCTTCTGCGAGTCCTTCTTCGATGAAGGATAGCTCCGAGCCAGTGTCCAGTAGTACGACTACGTTTTTGGATCGTCCTTGGTCGTTGATGATCTTAACTGCCCCGGTGAGTAAGATCACTTTGCTTTGTCTCCATTTATTCTTGTTTTTTACTTGCAGTACCAATGGAGCCTCCTGTACGGTATCTCTTACTGGTTCTTGGTCCTCCGTGAGATGACGCTGCTCTTCTCGCTCCACTATTTTGGTTATTGCATGTTGTTTGGAGGAGTGATAAGGCTTGCTTACTCTTTTTACTTCGGTTTTTACTGGTCTCTTTTCCGTGTATTTCTGAGGCCCAGATAATGATTTACCATGACTCTCAAGTTCCTTTGTTCTGTCTTCTAAGCAGATTGATGTATGGTGTTTCTTGTGGCATTTTCTGCAGTTACCGCTGAGACATGCGGTTAGTCTGTGATTAGCGGAGCCACAATTGAGACACCTGTTTGAGTCTATGAGAAACCTCCTCTTCTGTGTGGCTGTGGGTATCTGCGGACAGGTATTCCACCTGTGTCCTTTATTCCCACAGCATTCACAACAGATTATTACTTTCCATTTTTCTTTGGACTGTGGAGTTTCTCTGAATGGTGTTGCCTTGTGAGGCGAGTGCTCACTAAAGTGCTTTTCAGCTGAGAGCATGTGATTTAATTGTTCTTCTTGTGAGATTATGTCATCAATGGCATCAAGCCATTGGTCCAAAGTCCACTCGGGCTGATGTTCTTCCTTCTGTCTTAATCTTCTTTCCATAGCCGCTTTCCTTATGCGCGTATGGAATTTCTGAAGGAAGATTTGAATCGTTAACTGGTTATTGAGCTGTTGTTCATGCTCCTCTAGCTGTGCGGCTATTGTAGACAGTTTATCCCATAACTGTCGTTGTTCCATTGTGCTGGGGCCTCTGGCAACGCAACTGTGAAGGCTTCTGTTGAGTTCGAGAACAATGCCTTCCTTGTTGCCATATCGCTTGATAAGGTGTTGAATAGCCTTGTCGTAATTATTTGCTGACACAAAGAATCGAGCTATTGATTGCTTGGCTTCCCCGCTCAATGATGTCAGCAAATAATTGAATTTCTGCAGCTGTGACAGGTCTTGATCATGGACGTTGGCTTTATATAAAGCCCAGAAATTATCCCATTCCCATTTCTTTCCTGTGAAAGTTGGGATAGGGATTACAGGAAGCTTGTTGACTGCTACTGAACTTTGGTCGTTAGGCCCGCTTGTTCTGTGCATACTTCCTGTGTTATCCTCTTGCAGTGTTCTCTTGAGGTTTGACCTGTGCGCATGCAGTCCGACAATGGTTTCTTCTATGCTCTCTATGTACTTGTCAATTTTGTCTTCGTCCTCGTCCGTGGTGTCTTCGAGTTTATCAAAAGCTTCTGTGAGTTTAGTCAATGAGACTTCTAGAAGCTGTAGATATTCGTCGCACATCGACACAGCTAGCGCCAGCTCTTTGCTGTGTTCGTGTTGTGTGTTTGTTTGCTGCACATTTTGAAGGAACTGTGTCGACTCCTCTAGCCATGCCCGGACGATTTGGTTCTTTTTGGTCACTAGTCCTTTGTGAGACCTAACTGTGCTAGCCATACTGTGGATTACCTTTATGTTAGTATCTGTGTTCGAGGTTGCTGTGAGTTAGAGTATGAACTCTTGCAGGTTAGAACTGTGTACTCGTGCGTATTAGTAGAAGGCGTTATTACGTGCAATAATCGTACCTGTGTTTAGCCGATGCACCACTTGAATTGTTTATGGGGGCTGTGAACACCAATAGCTGCCACGCGGGACTTACACTTGCACGTACGCACGAGATGAGAGCAACCTCAAACTTGGGTAATTAAACTTTATTATTAGAAAGGTAAACAATATTATGCGTTAACGAAACATCAAAATAAACTAACCATAATAAACTAATCTAAAGTCACCTAAAGGACCTAAGCCTAGACTAGCATAAAGAGATGCAAATGGGTAGAGCAAAAGGACTGTGAGAACAAGGCAAACAATCGAACCCACTACAACTACGAACAGTGCAAGCGAAAGGATATTCAATACTGTGACGTCTCTATGAAGAAGAGAATCATGAAATAATGGGACTGTGAATAAGTAGAAGATGAGCAAACTGTGTTTAGTAAAGCTTTATCATGGCAAAAGTGACTTTTGGGTCTGTGGCTGTGTAGTTTATCCAAAAGGTCTGTGATCTGCGAAGCAAGCAACAAACAAGGTAATAAGAAGAATAAAAGGAACAAGAGAAGAAACAAAATAAGAAAATAAGAAAATAAATGTTATACGCATACATTGAATCTGTCGTGTCTTATTATCGACTTATATATCGGAAGCATTGGAATTATAAACAAAGGTCATCGGGTCTGTGAAAGCTACTGATAAGCTGCAAATGATGTTATATTTCTTCTTTCACATTCTCCGCGGCTCAAAGAACAATACGAACATCGAGTTCGTATAGTCAACGAAGGCAGCAGTACCATTAAGGAAGACCAGTGACTGAGATGACTGAATGCATTGGAGATGAAGTTGGAAAATCTGAGAAAGCTTGATAATATTATCTACATTTTATTTTTTGCTGTATTTGTATCGTAACCTTACCGCAGTTGTAGAATTCCTGAATCTTACTTTCTGTGCATTTCAATTCAATTCCATTATAAAAATCTGCTCAAGAAGATCAATTATTATTTGTTAAAAAATCTCATGAGGTAAGACTGGGTTTTACGAAAAGATAACTATAACAGGCGTGAAAAATGAGGCCCAAAGAAACCGAGGACACAAGACAAGTGAGGTAGAAGGCATGAGGAAAGACATAGAGGACGCAAAAAGCAGCTAGTAAGAGCGTAGGCCGCCTGCTCCGGATGCGATCGGGACATTATGGTGTCTCCCGCAGGTATCCTGATTTTGACCAGAATGTGTCTGTCGGGACACCTGATTTTGTAGCGCACGTTTGTCTTGAACCAAAAACGGGTGTTCTGATTTTGTCCCGACACCGATTTCGGGAGCCGGGCAGGCATTCCGTGACTACACCTCGTTTTGCTTTGCGCGAGTCAACTGCGAATGTCTGAGAAATGCAGCAACAAAACACAGCGAGTTTTGATTGTATCAGAAAAAGGATATACCCTTCTATCATACACTATAAGCGCAAAGTTCGTGTAAGTGGTAGGATGAAATTCATCTGGTAAGTTCTGATAAAGTTTTAAATGAAGTGTACTGTCTAGCTTGCGGCTTCCACATGTGATTTTTTACAAGAGATTGAAATCTCGTTTTTCTTCTTAATATCAGTACCATTTGAACAAGAGCATATGCAAAATTGAGAACAGGACACGGCGCCGGTGGCTTACCAAGCAAGCTGGATATCGTTTCTGGGGAAAAAAAGTAAGGGGGATATGGTTTTAGCGTAGGAGCATACCGCTGTCTTTCGATCTGCCGGCACGCTGTCGGCATGCCGGCGGCATGCTCTCCCAAACAAACAGAGGGCTTGTTTACAACGAAGTAAGTGAAATGACACCAAAATTGGTGTGCAGATGGGCAATCAAAAGTTAAGACTATGTAAGAAATATTGAAAAATTATGTGAACTGAAGGTGTGCTCTACTTTTTCGGAGTTAGGTGGCTCTCAAGTAAACCTGGAGGCCACTTGAGGTGGCTTGGGAAAAAAGTCATAAATTTTCCCTCCCTCACATAATTTTTTATCTTCTTTATGTGAACTTCATCTACATCTCAAACTCTACAAATCCTAAATCGCCTCAAATCCCCTCCTCCTCGTTTGGTTACAGCCACTTGAAAATTTTAAGTGGCAGCGTCAACGCTGCTCCAGGCGCTGCGCTCTGGATACATCATGCCCCAATCCGGAGTATACGAATATCATCGCGTTTGTTTGATGCTTCTCTTGCGTTTCTTTTTTGTTTTGCTTAGTTCCGTTGATTTTTATATGTTTTCTCTTCTCATATCATACGGCGTATGTCGGACTTTCATTTTGAACAAACAATGGCGGCAAGCATTTTCATCTTCCCCAAATTGCAAAAAACGACAGGGCTTCTTCTTTGCACTTTAGGTAAGCCACCTCGTGCCGAGCCCTGTTTGATTTTGACCTGATTATAATCATAATAAGCTGGAGTCATTTTTGACAGCTTCCAGGTGGCTGGTGGCTGGCGGTCCAAAGAAATCAACAAGGCCAAAATTTTCGAAACATTTTTCATTTTTTGTACTTTGGATGGCTTTCTTCCAGGCTCCATTGCACAAATATACCCCCAACTTGGTGAATGCCTGCGTGAGCACTCGCTTTTTTGATTTGATTTTTGCCCTACAAGCAGATGGCTTAGAATAGTGAATTGTGCGGGCTGGTAGAAACTACAGCGCTTTTCATGGAGAGCCAGAGGGACGGAGGGTTAAATTGGGGGTAATGCAGACAGACGCTGATTAGAGCTATCACAATCAAGTGAGCAAATCAATGATCTACGTATCACACATATATCATTATAAAATAATAGTTCGACTCGGACGTCTCATCAATATCGTCCGTTCGTTCCGAAACGGCGTAGGTTTACGGATAGAAAATCAGTTTTGAGTGGTAGTTTTGAAGGTGGGTTTCTTTCGGGCAATGAGAGAATTTCTATTCTAGCAAGTCAAGGCTTTAGGGACGAAATCACTTTATTAATCAGGCAAGTCGAATTATTTACGAAAACCATGAAGCTTGTTATTGAGGCATTGTAAGTTCTGCTGCACGCACTGACTATAATACTGTCAGCGCGAAATCAGGGGATTAACTTCGAGACAGTTTTTGTATTCGAACCTAATTTTTGCCGCTCGTAAAAGGGTTGCCATCCCACTTACAGTGGTGTAATCACACTGTAAGAAATTCTCCATGCTTCAGAATATGGCGCTGACATTCACGAATTCATGCGTAAACAAAAATGTCATCATGCTGAGATATTTGCACCAATAACTTAGGACACCTTGGTAATAGAGACAGCAAAATAGGGAAGTGCAAAATCATCCATCTAATTGAGCTTCCCAAAACTCCCAAAAAATTTGAGAAGCTTAGTACCCAAACCATTTATTATGCGTCCGACCACAGTTATAATTACATTATATTAAAAAAAGCACTCTGGCAGGGTGCTGCATATATCACCATGAGACGGAGTGTTATTGCAGGCGGCTGAAATGAAAATTTCAGCAAGTGTGTCACATCCATGAAAATAGCATTACCTAGCTTGTAGCTTTCCGTTCACGTATATCCGTAAAAGGAATTCTCCGTCACATCCAGGTTCGAAAGTGCAGGGAACGATGATGTAGTTTCCAGCTGGCACTCGGAAACGGCAGGTCACCTAAATTTATCGGTGAAATTGGGGCTTGTAATCAAGAGAAAAATGCAAGTTGATAGTTTCTGATTAAATGCGAGATATTTTATTTACATTAAACTTTTTGATCCATTTCAAGAAAGACAGGCAAATAAATCCTCAAATATATTAGGTTGTCCCGAAAGTTTTGTCCGTTTTTTCAACCTATCACAAAAACAACTAGAACAAAGATAGGGAAACGCTCAAATACAAACCGACGCATCTTTTAATCCTCTTTCTAACTGTCATACTCCCATGCCGATTACTCTTTTGCTCACTGAGATAAACGCCGAAATTTCGAACCCATGGTTTTTACTATGTCCAAGTTTGGCAATTTTTCACAATCTTCATTTTTGACTTTTGGAAAAGCACTGATAACAACTAGATAGAGCAAACAAAGGGCAATATGATGCAATTTTGCGGCATCTACATTAGCCTTGAAAATTTTTTAAAATTATTTTTCTGATGCTGTCAAATTCCATTATTGGTGATGCCAAAAGCCAGACATCATGAAACGGCGCACAACTAAGGTGTTATTCGATGCAGCTTTTCCTCCTCTTTCCAGTGAATTATTTTCTCTTCAATTTAAGGGGCCTTTAGCGATAAAATTTCCATAATTCTTGAATTTGACCCCCGCCCCAGCGTGTACCGTAAAATGCGAAATCTTATATTTCGAAGCGGTAAACGCTCAGTTACTTTGTAAAAATAGTACAATCGTAATCAATTTTTGAAAGCTTCAAAATCCGATGATTTGTTAGTGTTCGAAGCGTTTCTGTACTTTGGGACTTCGCAAAAGTGAAGACTTTCGGAAAAATTATCTTAAAAAATACTGAAAAACCAGCTGGATGAGCTTAAAATTTGCATTGAATTGCGCTTTGTTTACTCTATCTGAGCGCTATCAAAGATCATCCAAAAGTTGAAAATGAAGATTGTGAAAAATTGCCAAACTTGGACATAGTACAAATCATGGATTCGAAATTTCGGCGTTTATCTCAGTGGGCAAAAGAGTAATCGGCATGGCGGTATGACAGTTAGAAAGAGGAGGAAAAGCTGCGTCGGGAAATGCTTAGAGCATTCCTCTATCTTCGTTCCACGTGTTTTTATGATAGTTTGAAAAAACGGACAAAACTTTCGGGACAACCTAATATAATACTAGGTTGTTCCGAAAGTTCTGTCCGATCTCTAATCGCCTTTTTTCAACGCAGCTATTTTCTTACAAGGGAAGCATGCTTAGTTAAAGTGGCCTTTTCAAATGGGATGTATACCATATTGAAGGGCATAAAAAGCTGATTCCAAATCTGCATTTCTTATCTGCAGAACATTTATGGACGTGGAGTTAGCGCCTACTGGAGCAAAAAATGATTGTTCAATTACATAAAAGGAGCCGTAATATTTTTTAGCCCTTCAATGGAGCATTGATAATCGTCGGCACTTTATTCAAAAAAAATATTCTAATATCACTTGGTGCATATTAGGGCTAGTAAGATTTTAGCAGCTCATTTTATCCAAAATACCCTTCCAACTTTCGCTCCAAAAAACGCTCATAACTCATCGTCCGTAAACGTTCTGCAGATAAAGAAAGCAGAATTGGGATCAGCGTTTTATGCCCTTCAATAAGGGTGTTCCAAAAAATGTGAACATTGTTTGATCGCTAATAACTCCTTGCTTTCATGTCTTTCGCCGGGCTTGAGGCACCATTCTGTAGAGCGAGGTTCCTTAGATTTGTAGTATGGAACGAATCACCGGTCGGTGTTCGGTATGAACTTCTAGCATGTGGATCTATGTAAAATATGCCATTTGACAAAAATTTTTTCAAAAAATCTGAAAAATTGTGTACTAGGGTTTTCGCGCACGCTGATTCCATTACACAATTTTTTATAGGTGCTGTTAGCTTTTTTAACAGTGTAATTACCTTTCTGACAAATGGTGGAAATTAAGTTATTACGATTTACCTAGGATAACCTTGAAAAGAAGCTTACAGTAAAGTGGAAATTTCATATTCGAAATCAGCGGCTTCCATTACCATTATATAAGAGTTTTTGGCTTGTTTGGTTTTGTTCCGAGGAGAATATGGCCTCCAATGGCCTAAAATCCTTGTCGAAGTTCCTACCGTAATCCTACAGTAATGAAGAGCGATCGATGATTCGCTCCATATTGTAGCTCTAAGTTGAACCTCGCACTGTAGAATGGTGCCTCAAGCTCGGCAAAAGACATGAAAACAAGAGAGTTAATAACAATCAAACAGTGTTCACATTTTTTTTGGGAAACCCTGTAGTATACTAGCTGGCTTATCCGGCTCAGCCCGGTCCTGTCAAAACACTATATTAAAGTTCCACTCCCTTCCCTGTAAACCTTTCCCTGTGCCCACTTCTACATGCAATTCCCTATTCTGCTGTGTTAGTAATCAGCATGGTCACTTACCCCTTCCCCCCTCCCCCTCCCCCCAAAAAATCGATAAAATCTATAAAAGTAGCGAATAAATCAAAAGCTGATATTGTATTGTAATCAGCATGCTCGATTACCTCCTGTGCCAAATCCTAGACTCGTAGCTTGAACTTTGCAGAAAAAATCGATAAAATCGATACCGATCGAAGACGAAAAGCGGCCTATGACACCCGCCCGGCCCCGAAGTGTATGTGTGCAAAGTTTGGTCCGGATCGGTTCAGAAATGAAATTTTCTATTCGGAGCATACGTACAGACAGACATACAGACAGACAGACACACAAACAGACATTCAGCTTTATATATATGATTCCATTCAAAAAGGAATCGACCAAACAAGCTTATCTTTTTGGAGGTGACTACATTACTCTTTTTTACTATTTGCGTAATCACTTTGAAATGTGTAAACATACCTCTCGCATATTGATGAAAACTTTAGTGCGAGCTGTCGGTTTTCTACCAAGCAGATAATCAGCAGACGCGGGTTGACTGGCAGATTCAGCCTGATGTATGAGAATGAATTAAAATTGAGTTTTGAAATCCATGAATTTTTTGAGTTTATCAGGAATACACCATGTACTAGCAGGTCATAGCTTATGTATCAACGATCTGCTGGAAATCAAAAAGTCTATAAAATACTAATTTGCGAACTGCTTGACCCGGTGAATCTCTTAATTGATGAATTTGTGAACGTGGTATTTGCATGAACACGAATGTTTCACAGAAATTCGAAAAGCAGTACCATAGAAATTCTATAGTTCACCAACAAGATGAGTTTCCGAAATACTTTTCAATAATCTTTTATCCAAATTTCTAGACCCTCTTTTCTTACTTAGGAGTCCCGGAGAGAGTCTAGAAACAAAAATCCGTCTAAGGAAAGGACGAAACGAAAAATCATAGTTTTCTTTTTACTATGAAAAAAGCTCACTGGATAGACGGCAAACCCTATAGGTAGACTATCTTTTCCAACTGTCCTCATTTCTCTACGATATTTCTGCAGTACAGCAACTATCACTGTGCATTTGCCATCTTGTTCAACGGAATCCTCAGTCACAACAAAATAAGTGCCGAATTGCGGATTTCGAGCATAGGAGTCTAAATTTTTAGTTGGCAAAAGTGTAAGTACCAATAAAAGTTTGATGTTACCAGGATTGTTGGCACAACCACCAGCGGTTCCCCTTTGCGTGCTCCATTCGCCATCTTCGGCCTTCTCCTCCCATCGATGGGCTTGATGTTCGGATACTTCTACCTGGAAAAGAATTGGGTTGATTTTCCTTGTAAAGTTTGAAAGTGCACAAACCCCAGTCATCTCCGAGATTTCGTTCATTATAGCAGCTGACATATTACAGACTTCCATTTCCATAAAATTGGTGTAAAAGTCATCAAATGACATCCTGAACATCTCCATAAACTTCGAGATTGCTTCTTCTTTAAAGTTACCAACCAAAATTCCCCATCGTTAGAGAAATTTACGCCTAGCTCCTCTCTTTTGGCACTATCTATGTAATTCCACTCCGGCGATCCGTCGCTCCAGGCCCCGTTCCATTCCTGAAATCGGGGCTCCTCTACTTGAAAGGCTTTTATCTATGATGCTTACCTTGCTGTTGCCCCAAGGGTTTCTTATTCTAATAAGTGGAGTTTCCCCATGGGGTCCTTGTACAGTATGCAGAGCAGTAATACTGTAAGCATGACCACGTACGAGGCCATTCTCCAAAGGAGCTTCTTTCTGGTGTGGGTCAGCCTGAAAAATCAGAACTGCACCTTGAAGGCAGAGTCTGGGCAGAATTTCGTTTATCAGATTTTCAATCCATATCTGGGCTTTTCAGCGCATGAAAATGGCGAAAAAGACCTTTTTCTGGAAACTTTCCAGGTCCGCATTCAGTGAAGATGCGCAGAAAGTTTTTCGCGCTTCGCCTCCCTCGTTCCGGGCCCCCACTTACACGTATTCCCCACAGATTGTGGACCTGGAAAACTTCGGGAAAGCCTCATGTCCGCCATTTTTATGCGCTGAAAAGCTCGGATATTCCTCTTGGCGAGAAAGCTCCGAAAAGGTGAAAATCTAAAAAACGAAATTCTGCCTAGATACTGCCTTTACGTAAAGCATATCGAAAAACAATTGAGAATATAACCAGGGGTTCCAACAGAAACATACATCGATACTACAGCCAAAAAGTGATCCCATTTGAAATCCTCTGATCATCATAGCCAGAATAGTGGATTTGTCGGTTTTGCGAAGATTGTAGAACTCAGTAAGACCTCCAGTAAAGTCTTCAAGAGCCTCAGCCGTAGTTCCTCCTTCGAGATTCTCATAAGATCCATATAATCTATAACGGTCAACTTGGTTTGATTACCCAAGTTTGAGATGTGTTCACCATATGGATTGAGGTCAGAAGAATGACTAATCCGGTAAAGGTTAAGGGTTAGTTCCCGTGTTATTTTACTTAACCATACGATTTTCCTTCACTACTGATGATTTCCGGGAAATGTACTCTTTTTCTTTCGCGTCTAATGGATGGAATGATACGAAACTGGAAATCCCTTAGACTGTTACTTTCTCAATTTCTTTCATTTTTCCTTACCATAAGAATACTGTTGGTACTAATGGGATTCTTATCACAAACGAGATATAGCTGCTTCTATTAGTAGATCATGTGTCAACAAGATATAGTTCTCGCTTTTTCCTCATATCTGCAAATAAGCTTGTTTTTTCGATCATTACGAAAGCTCCTCAAATGATAAAATTATTATGTTGTGCCTTTCGAATCGGATGCGCAGTAACGAAACGAGGAAATGAGCTAAACTCAAGCTTTGTTGTTCTATTCAATTGTCAAGTGTAGCTATTACTTGCTACCTAATAATGTTCACAAAAGGCAAAAGAATTTTTTTAGCAACTTTGACCTTCTCTCAAAATTGGTTTTTTACGATGATGAATATCTGTATGAGAAATCTGGGTGTTTTGCGTTCACTGCAGCTGAGTTTTCAAATTTTGCAACTTTAAATGTTCTTCTAACCCAAGTAATCTCTGATTCAACTGTGGCGGCTGGAAGGCGGGCTTTGCGACCTAACTGAGGCCGCTCGCGCCCGCAACGCAGTCTGCGTCTCTCTCGCACGCGTGCTCTCTGATTCTCTAGCTAGGCCACGAAGCCCCGCCTTCCAGGCGCCAATTCAATTAAATCAAATGGTATGTTTGATGTGTACCTTCGCGCATTTTATAGATTCAAAGTTTGAAATTTATTAAAAGGGATGAAAACTGAGTTTTTTGCCAAAATATCCTTACTTCAAGTTGAGTGGTAGGCGGCGGCGCCTGAATAAAAAGTTAAAGGTTTTCCTACAAGCTCAAAAGGTGCCTTTGAAGAGCATTCCTCTCTCTTCCTATCGCATCAAAATAGAGAGTTTATGAGATAGGGTCACAAATAACATTACAAGCAATAAGGAGCAATATAATAATGACAATATAAGATTGTTTACTGAAATAGAGGCCTCTACTACTTATTAAGAGGAACATCGCAGAAGAAACTCGCCAATGAATTTATACTGCTCCTTCTTTTGGCCGCTCTCAACGTAACCTTTGATTCAACTGGATTGGAGGCTGGAAAGCAGGGCTTAGTGACCGAGTCAGGGCTAGAGAGCGAAGAGAGCACGAGCGCGAGAGAGACGTCGACTGCGCCGCGGATGCGAGCGATCTAAAATAGGTCACAAAGCTCCGCCTTCTGGCGGCCGCCAATCCAGTTGAATCAAGGTTCGTAACATGATAGGCGTGGGAGAGAGAGAAAGAGAGAGAGAGAGAGAGAGAGAGAGAGAGAGAGAGGGAACAAATAACTTTTTAGTTTCTACAAAATTCTGGCAAGTTTTTGCTTTTTGCTAAATCTGAACATGTTCAAGAGCGTCTAATCTACCTGTATAAGCATTAGTTGGGAAAGAAATATTGAAGAAAGATTATCTTACTTTGCGTAAGCCTTTTCTAGTAAAGCACTCCAGAATACGTTATGGGATTGAGAATGCATGTAATAAAGCCGTCCATTTACAGTCGGCAAACGATCGTCGATAACCACATCAATCCACTTTCCATACCGCCAAAATTGGAAATGGAAAATGCCTAAACACGGCTAGACATATGTTGACGTATCTTAAATTTAAAAAAAAAATTCCAAACCAGCGTAGTTATCTGTGAAACTCTGATCGGGTGGCACGACCCTATAGAACAGCTCGTCTCTAAGTGTGAGGTTAGCAACCGCAGCCAAAAGCCAGCAATCACCCAGGGCACCCTAGATTGAATTTTTTTTACCCAAAATGCCATAACTTAGTAGTGTCCAAACTCACTTGTTTAACGTCAAAACGAGATTTTTCACCTACGATCAGTTGTGCATCGTCTACGATTTGCTAAACAAGGAAGGACTAAAATTTTAACACTTTTCCCGAAATGAATGCCCTTACACCAGGCCTCTTCCATTCCACATCTCTATCCGGAGCATTTTTATAGTAGATGCTTCGATCTGTAGCAGGAAACTCTGGATCTTCAAAAAGAGTCTTGTTTTGTAGGCACTTTTGACGTTCCTGCTCAAAGTTCAATCCAAAAGTGGTGGCACCAGGTGTGGGAACAGGAGGTACAAAAGGATGCACCTGAGAGAGTAAGTTTATCGTTTTGAAAACAGCGCAGAAATCCTTACATCTCTCCTATACTTGCCGCTTATAAGATTTTCCAAGACAACTTTTCCTATGGTCGTTAGGGAGTTCCCTCTTCCTCCCAGGTTGAAGATGATATCTCCGGCTATGGCACCAAGAATAGCGCCGGTTTCCTGAAAGTTACCTTGCTTTCGTTTACTTCCATCAAAAAAAATTTACTAAAATGGAAGCAGTCGTATTTGACCTACTGGATTAATATTAAGGAATCTATGCGCCGCTGAACCAATCATCCTTTCTACCATTGATTCCATTCCTCCAGATGACATGATGTTGGTCAATCCTGAACTTACAGATTGCAATTATCCGTACATCAAAAAATCATATTAACAGGGTAAACAAACACAATTCGTAATTGTATACAACACTCATAGAATTCATCATTACAGCAGATCTGTGAGGGACAGAAATTGAGATAAGTTTCAGGAAAAAATTCATAAATTTTTGGAACTGTCCCAAACTGCAACCGTTCGCAGAACTTGACATGTAGAAAAGCTCAAGTTTTGTTTCTCGGATTGGGGATCCCTACCCCCAACTGCCGAGGTTTTTCTATAGTTTCTTAGTCACTTTCAAAAGAAAAAAAAACAAAAAGAGTAAAGTGACAGAGACAAAAAGTGACAAAAAAACTTCTAGTGACTCATGGTCAAGCATAAGCTGATAAAAATAACGATGAAAATTCCCGTATGCTGATAATCAGGATGTGATAATTAGGTATTGTTATACACGAATATCTCAAATTTTCGTACCTCCTTGGCCACCAGCTATTTGACTTATCGAGCCCATAATGTCGCCAAAATTCGATCCTCCAAAACCATCCAGAGCACCTACAACAAACTTTATACTGTAACTAGACGATATGTTAATTTGTTTGTCTTTCATCTTCAAAATTCACGATTTAAAAATCGACAAGTTTTTTAACTGGACCTCTCACGATGCTTCCAAAACCTGCGCCACCGCTACCACCGCCACCTCCTGGCTCTTCAGCATTGGTAGAAGCAGCTACAGCTTGTTCTTCCTGAAATTAAAAATCATCTACTTTTCTTCTTCGCCAGTAAGAATAATTTGTAAGCATAACTAACCACAATAGGGCCTTCATCTTCATCATCTTCTTGATTCAGGTAACCACGCTCTTCTGCTTCGTCGTAACCGGCTTCCGGCTCCTCCTCAGGTTCTTCTGGTGGTTCTTCCTCATAGTCATCGTACTCAGGCTCCTCAGGCTCAGGCTCTTCCTGCTCTTCCTGCTCTCCCTCATCTCCTTGATCATAGTCATAGCCTCGATAATCTCCACCATTGTATCCATCATCATCTCCACCATCATATCCACCGTCCCCTGGAAGAACATACAACTTTCATCAGAGACATCAAAAATATCTGTTCGCGCTCAAGAAAATTTTGCAAGCTCTTCACCTCCCTCTGCGTCTTGATCGTACCCGTACTGATCATCACCTAGACTGACACTCATTTAACTGTATTTCTGTATTTCCTGCTAATGGAAATGGAAAGTACCTCCTTCATCACCGTACTCTTCTTCCTCATTATATTCGTCGTCCGACATGGTTGATTAGTTCGAAGCACTAAAAGCAGTAACGATGTTTTCTGGTAAAAAGTACGATATTCGATTTATTATGCGATTATGTTGTTACAGCTGGCCGAACATATAAACCGAGATGAGTCATCACTAAACTGATGGTCATTGCGTGAACTCGGTCATGTTTTCTGTGACATGAGGATCTGGATTTCGTATCGCGGAAAACGATTTTGTAAAACATACATTTGTTATATACAATTAAAGTCTTTCAAATCTTGCGATAATATGCGGTGTTTGGATTAGTTACCTCAATGAGATTGTTTTAGAAAAGTCGAAATTCAATAAGAGAATGTACAGTGATAGGGACAATTACAAGGTCGATCCACCAAATGTAATCTTCGAAAGTCGCATCTCTTACCACTATTTTGAGAAAAAATACGGAAAAATTCAATCGAGTCGACAGGATCTGAAACTGGAGCGGCTATGTTTTTGTTTTAATGTGAAGGGCGGTGGAATACATCAAATACTATTAATCATATTCATAAAAAATTTCATTTCATTCTCTAACGAGCAGCAACAGCTATTTGAAACAGAGCTATGTAGAAAGAAGGTTAAAAGCAATAATTCAAGGTTAAAAGCAATCACTCATTATAATTTACTCTTACTCCCCTATGTACCCTAATTTCACGCGTACAAGGCGCGGGGGTTTTTCAAAATCGAGCAGTCCAAACATGCCGAACGACTTCGCGACCACGGTCCCTTTTATAGGGTCCTTAGGTCGCGAAGTCCGCTGCATACTCCCTAAGAAAATCATGCAGCATAAGTATGTTCTTCCGAAACCCAGTGAACCAGCTGAGCAGCTTGCTTAAAAAATCGAAAAAGGTACGCCTTGTACACGTGGAATTAGGGTAATGAAACCAAAAAATTTGCCCTCGATTATTCCGTCGCCCCTTTCGTGTTCCTCGCCCACCTATCGCTTTTTGCAAGTAAAAATCTATGCTATTACCTCAGCGATATAGGTAGCCCAAATGGCATTATGGGAGCCCATTCATGTATTGCACCAATCGTCAGGTTACACCAGTACAATATCCATCAGCAAATTGAATGGGTTCCACGCCCAATGGATTCGTTGATAAATACGGTCATGACTCTGCAGTTTTCATAGAACACTTTTATGAAGGTCAAGAGTTCTTTCCAGTCAACAAGAATGTGTTACGAGTTGAACGATAATGGATATATTAGGCTAGGACGAAAGTTTGTTTACACCATTTTCAATTGTAATTCGTTCTTTCTCGATCTTTCAAGATCAATTTCATCGAAAAGACAGAGTCATGTGCTTTTCTATAGCACCTTGGAAGTTTTCTACTAACACAAAAACTCGATCGGCACAAACTTCGCTCAGCCAAAAAGAAGATGTCGTGAAACTCAAGCTAATGATTGTTTGGATTTTATTGAATGACTTCTGAATTTTTGACGAGCCTGCTCAAAATGCCCACTTGAAATCACCAAAAGTCGGATTAGCTTCTTCAATTTTTGCAGTCAGTCACTCTGCAGTCAAAGCTTAATATAAAGCCTCCAATGCCATTGGAAGGCACATAATTCACTCTTGTTGATAATTAAACTCTTGCGAAAAGATCGAATAGAGCGAATATATTTTTTTTGAGAATGGTGCTTGAACTCTCGGTTCACCTTATATAATAAAGTCAACAACGTATATGAAAAATGATTCAGCAAACGTCTATCAGGAAAATACCTATACTGCAGCAAAGAAAAAATTACATTTTCAACGACATGCTCCTTTTCCATTTTAGCTTAATTTCTATAATCTCCTCAGCTGCATCGTCGTGCTTACGAGACATTTTTATACAGGGTGTCCCAAAAGTCTTGTAGCCTAGTATTTTTTCTGATAAAAACAGAACGGAACAGACATAGGGATATAAAAATTGGTGTAATTATTCAAAAAGTAGCACATCACGGCATTCGAATTTCGTGGTAGCAACTTTCCTTGATAACGGAAGCCTTCAAACTGTTGGCAATTACCACTGGCGATTCACGGCAGTCATCATCAATTTTGTCTCAATTTTTCATGAAAATAAATCCTATCGCTTAGAAAATGTGCTGTATGATAGAGCAAGCTTTCAGCTACATCATACCATGATCAGAAAAATTTGTGAGTTTTATGATTAACGGAAATTTGAATGCAGGCACGTGTAGACTCACGGTGGAGTTTTGGACACATTTGCGGAAAATGAAAACAGAAAAACGGCTACAGTGTGTTTCAAAACCTAGTTCGTCATCCGTGTTGCATTAGATTCCCATCTAGAAAACATGCGAAGAAAATATTACTCCAAATTCAGTGACTGCTGCAATTCCACAGATTTGAAAAATTTCAAAGGCATAGTTGCAGTGGCACGCATTGAAAATTTCCAGGTATTTTCTCGTCTCTCTTGACGAGATAGATTTCTAAATGCAGTCATTATAGTGATAGTAGTGCAAAGCCTCCTCTATATTGTGGATATAAATTTCCACCGCGGTGTGCCATTTGCAGTAGTGAGTAAATTTCAAACTTTCAGGAAATAGCTTTTTGCGTTTTGAGGTAGAAATGGTTCGATAATTTTATTTTTTTCAGTCAAACATGAAGAGCATTTTTTACCCCCAAGGATGTGGTTTACGAAGAATGATTGGAGGATTCTGTGGTATAAATTTGAGATCAAAATCACCAGTGATTGTTGAGTTAAAGCAGTGCAACATTAGGCTACAAGACATTTCCGACAGCCCGTACATATTTCTAGCTAAAAAAATCAAGCAGAAACTTGGCTAGCAACAATTGCCCTTGATTGTGCTACTCATATGATGTCTGACTTTTTGGAAAACTATGAGCACGATTTTATAATAGAAATAGAACAGAACCTTGTTTATCAAGAGAAAAGCGCGCTATAGTAGAACGTGCAAAAAATGAAAACATGTAGTGAACACTCTTGGATTAAACTGAAATCAAAGATGACTCAGCATAAAAATCAAGGACGCAATAAACACTTTGACCATAAAGCGGACAACTGTTTGTCAAGAAGAAGACGAGGGATCGTGCTTGATCCATAGGTATGATGACAAAAACGGCCTATTCAGAGAAGAACTCAAAATTTACGAGTTCAACAATTCGGTAGAATTGTCACAGCGCTCTCGAAACACGAAAAAATTGAAAGTAATTGAAAGGCTCTCATTAAAAGAGAAAAGAGAATTTTGGCAAAATTAAGCAACAATTTATGCATTTCTTGAGTACCCTGATTCAATAAAGAACTCTGATGTTTCTGCAACAATCTGACATCAGGCAAAATGATGCACTGAAGGAGATTGATTTGTATGCACTGTTCATCAATGCGGAGTCATTGTTACGCAGACACATTCAAAGTACAATCGTTCGTCAATTACACTTTTTTTTCGAGGGAACCATATGGAGTGCAAAACTCTAACATCAGTTGAAAGTTGTTACGAAAGAGATAAAATCTGAATCTGACGAGTTGTGTGGAGTATGTGACATATATCTGGTTCATGCAAAACTATTAGCTATGAGATGTACAATAACTACCATAGATAGGCATATGTAAGTAGTTCTCAAAATGTCAAACTATACCGAGATAAACGAACCAGTTCGTTCCGATTTCGTTATACAAGTCCTGCTCGACGTATTTACAAGCACTTTCTATATTTCGCAACTTTGCAAAATGTACGAGAAGTAGGACGAAATAGCAAACGTGTATCTAGTCTTCCGTACTAGGTACAGCCGCCCTCAATTCATCAGTCACTTTCTGTAATTGCACCACTCTAAACCTGCAGAGGGCGCGTGTCATTAAAGGCCACTGTCGTGATTGCAGATACGGTATGCGATGAAAAAAAAGCAAAAAAGACTTCTTTGACCAATGCAGAATTTGGAAAATTTATTCTTCAATCACACAGTGAGTGATAGAATGAGGGGTGTCTATAAATTGCAGTCTTTGCAACCATTTTCGGCAGTATTTTTCTCCCAACTTCTGAGAAGTACACGTTGAGGAACAATTTTCACAGAAAAAAAAGTAAAGTTGGATTTTCTCGGTCTAGCCCAGTTGGACATCGGAATGGACCGATGCTTATCTCGTTAGCAACATGACAGCGAAGCTGCTCATTTTTAGATGCTACAGCGAATTACAAATTTTTTTTTAGGTGATGTGCTCCCAGGAATGATCGCTGGTGCTGCGAAAAGCTGAAGTTATCTTTCCTCCGAAAGACTGAGTTCGACAAAGATCCATACGATTTCCAGAAATGTCGCTTGGCTATGCAGGTGATCGATAAGAAACGAGGGAAAATGTTTGAAGATAATGATGGACATGCTTTCAGTTACTAAACCGAAAAAAGCAAAAATCAGAATTTTTCACTTGCAAAAGTTTATTTGCAAAATTTATAGAAAGCAAAGAACGAGCATACAGGAAAGTAGCTTTCGTAATAAGCCGAGCATTGGGAAAGTCACATTTACATTGTCAGAATGGACCACACGTTGCCATGAAAGATCTGAGCTCTAGGAGTCAAAAATAGTGCGGTGACAGAACATACAAGATGAGGACCGGCAGGTAGCCTCTCTACAAAAAGGAGTTCGAAGAGTGACGAATAGTCAACGTCGGAAAACTAGTTGGTGACTCATAGCCAAAACGGTCGTAAAAGTTCGTTCTGTATGAGCCAGGTACACGTGGACGAACAACCGTGGAGGATACGGAAAATGGAGACCATTTTTGGAAAAGAATGATTTATTATAGAAAAATTAGTTGAAGCCTTGGCAGAGATGTTTTTCAGAAATAATCACTTACGAAATCTTTAAAAGATGCGACCAAATTGTTCTTATTCAAGTCTTAGTCGGTAAGAAAAAAACTGACTTTAAGCCTTTCTATTACGATTATAGAACGTTTCTAGTCGATTAACTTTTATCTAAACCCCGCAAAAAAGCAGTAATAGAAGTGCACCCGATCGATGGCTTTATTTGCATAGGCCATTAGTCAATGACAAGAATACAGCTTGTGCTCCAGATGAAATATGATAAAAAACTTAAGTAGCTTAGAGGTGAAAGCTTTTGTAAACATGCAATAATGACTACTAGTATAACAGCCGTTGAACCGTCACGACCCCAGGAAGTTTGCAGTAAATGAAGATGAACTTTTATGGCTACAGTGCTATATTTTTGAGAAAATTTCGTCGAAAATAGAGTTCCAGCGAGGACTGTCGTCGTTGCACTATAGAAGTCGCTGTGTTCGTCGATCGATGCGACGGCCACCTAAACGGGTCAATCGTGGATTCGAACGCATTTCAATGCGATGGTGGCTTTGCCGGTTCTCAAGGTAACATGAGTGGGCGCACGCTGCATGGCGCACTTAGCTTTCATTTGAGTAACATTGCACTTCACTGCACCTGAACAGTGGATTTTGTCGTGCAGCCTTGTTCAGAAATATTAATCTAGCATTTTGGTACTGACAGAGACTGAATCAGAGCCGCAGATGGGGTGCATCCGAAGTTCCAAGTTAACTAGGCGATTTCATGTACAAACAGAGATGGAAGTCCACACTATCACAAGGAAGCATATTCCGAAATTGCTACTGTTTTTTCGCATAATCGCTTTCGGGAAGAACTAGACCGGTAGTGTTATAATATCCGAAGCTGTAGCTATCCGGAGGCAGGCTCGAGTACAGGTGGCACACGGGCAGGCCTAATGTCATTTTTGGGTGAAAAACAAAGGGAGAGGGTCAAGAGACGGGATTTCTCAAACTGCTACCAACTTAAAACGCCAGCTTAGTATTCACGAGCTTTCAAAAAGTACAGATATGCTCTTGTAGATGTTTGTAGCAGGCCAGGATTGTTTTACAGAGTTATTAAGCCGACGTTTCGGCGTCACTACCTTCTTTAGACTGTAAAGACGAAGGTAGTTGTAATCTATCCTCTCAAATGCTCTATCCCCACATCGGTACAACCCAATAGCTGATAAAGGTGGGACCATGGCGGCCGGACCTGGATGATCGAATCTCTAAAAGACAGGCGTTGCCTTCTTACTAACTGCTTGAAATTAACACTGCTAAGTCTGACGCTTTTGCTTTAACATGTTTCGGACCGCGAAATCGCGGGTGGCGAAAAAAAGTGCACTTTCAGCTATTAGCCAACAAAGGGACCTTGTTTCGAAGACTGTGTGCTACATCTGTAATCAGCTTGTCAAATAAGTTCCATATCCAAAGTTTTGAGTGAATTCGAAGTGTTTGAATTTTGTCGCTTGAGAAGGACTTCTGTGGTGTCCTGAAAGATAGGAACAAGAACCTAGTTTCTAATAGTAGCCAAAAGTATCTATGTTGTGGACGGTACACATCAGTATTGAAACTACGGTTTTTCTCCTTGATATGGAAGCAAAAAGAAGTTGCGACATCGCACGCGTCGTTCGCGCTGCCGCACCTTGTTGCAACCGTTGTTCGATTTGTCCGCATATCTGCTAAACAAATATCGGCAGCACGACTCTACAGAATCATTTGTAAAGTGAAAGCTTAGGTCTTTGACTATAACCTTGGACTTTAGGAAAACTTCCTGTGAACGCCAGAAGGATCCTTCAAAGCAGCGTGCCCCTATTAATTACATTTTCAGGCGTTTTTGACCTTCAAGATTTTCATATTAGGTCGAATTCAAGACAATAAGGCCGAGTTCATGCAACTATCTGTTATTTATTTATTTATTTATTTATTGAGTGCATCCATTTATGCGCCAAAGGGACGTGATTATGAAGAAAAAACATCAAATAACACAATGTCGAGATAAAACCATATGCATCACCAGTGGTCTTATGCTATGAGTTTTAGGGAGTACTTTGAGTCAGAGATATGGCACCTTTTCGTGGTATATGTGCATTTGTAAAAAAATAGATATATCTGACGTTTGAGGCGCAGAACATGCTATTTGTTTGTTCGTCTGGAAATAAAAACTGCAACAAACCTCTACAACACATTATAGGGTCATCAGATAACTAACGAAAAAAAACTTTTTATGACCTGAATTGTAATTTGAGTGTTTGTCAAAACTCAATGCCCATCACTTAAACTTTGCCACCTATTTCTCTCCCCCCTCTTCTCCCCCCTCCCCCGCCCCCTCCTCGAACAAAACTTTCCCAACACCATTGTCACGAAACTCATGCATATACGTGCACGCTTATAAAAATGTGCAAACGACTTGTTTATTTTTGTAAATAATTACAACTTTTTTAAAAATTTTCTAAAAATTCAAATTAGCCTTATAAAAAAAATTTTTCGGGGGCTTGGCTGACGCCATGCCCCCTTTTTCCAGATTTCACTGGTCCCCGGTCCGAAATCCTGCGACCGCCACTGATGCGCACCCTTACAAACCTCACCCCCCCCCCCCACCTTCCCCTCCCCATCTCTTTCACCACTTCTTCTCATCGCAGGTGTTCCTTGTGCTCATCACAGTCTCACCGTTCTATTCTTTGCATAACCACAATCTCGACCTCCAACATTACGACGCTATATCTCTCCTTATAAAATTTTCTGATCTTTTTTCGCATGCATCTACATCCTAGATACTTTGAGCTAGTTTGGTGTCAGATCTTTTTCGCTTCATGATGCAGTGAGAGGTGCGATAGTGGAAGTCGATTCTCCCCTTATCTTCATTTTCGAGCTGGTACCGGGTGACCACCTTCACTTTTGAGTTAAAAAAATTTTTTCGCTGAACGATAAAAAGGAAAAATAAGCAAAACAAACGCAAAAGAGATTATTGAAAGCATATTTCTATGTAGTTCACGTTTAGGAACTCGCTCTCGCCTGCCGCTAGCATCCGAAGGCCATCACCGGCTTGCACGCATCTAAACCTCAGCGTCTCCCACAAATTCGGAGAACAAAGTTTCTTGATGAGTTTCAATGATTTCAAGAGGTCTAACCCAATGGTCCTTTGTACTAGGTTGTTACGTAAGTGTTTTACACTTTTACTTCTTACGACTATAATTCTTGTCATAATTTTAATAGATCTCCGGGATACCATTCGATAGAGCAAAGCAAGCTATACAAGATAGTGTGCAGAAGTTCGCATCAGCCTCGAAACACCGTACGTTTGCACCCACAATCTGAGTCTTTTTGAAGGCTCAAAAAAAGGAAAAAATTCATGTCTTTGTTCAATGAAATTCTACGAATCTACAACTTGCCCATAAAAATTGCACAGTACAGGGTGTCCCAAAAGTATGTATGCACTGTTTGGTCGTTAATATTTCTCTTCCCAAGAAGTCTTATGCCATGCTTCAGGTACCGTTTTGTAGAGCTGGCTTCAACTTAGATTTGCAGTATAGAACAAATCACCCATCTCTCTTGATTACTGTAGGAGGTAGAAACTTCAACGAGGGTTTTGGGCCATGAAAGGCCATATTTTGCCTCAGAAAGGAAATATAACAGTCTGAAAACTTTTACACTAGGCTAGTTAGAGTTTTGATTCTAACTGTAAAGTTCCCAACTTTTTATGATGCTTCATTGAAGAGTTATGCCGGGTAAGAGGTAGCGGCCATTTTTTCAATGTTCCTAAAAAGTGCGGTTACACCGTTTAGAAAGCTTTGCAATCTTGTGAATAGTTGAGTATTGAACTCAGCGTCCATAAAAAACCCTATTATACAAGTTTTCACATTTTTTTGAAAAATTTTGAAACGGCAGCTTTTTCCACATTGACACCATATGTTTCAAGTTTCTACCGTAATCCTACAGTAATCAAGAGAGATGGGTGATTTGTTCTATACTGCAAATCTCAGTTGAAGCCAGCTCTACAA